TTGCTACCTTTGAAAAGGAATTCTTCTGCTAGTCTGCTGATTTACATTCAAAGGGACTGCTGCCTGTATTGCTTTTGCTTAACTCTGGTTAAGAACACTATGCTAAATCTCGGAAGAGATAATTACACTAATGAGCATCATGCATTTAAAGGGTTTACCTCACTGCTATTCAACTTTGCATTAAATACCATCTCTATACCCTTACTGTACCAAACGTGGCGAAGTTTATGCTTTCAAAGATCACCAAATTATAGTAAGAATCTCCAATGGATGGGTCCCGGACAAGCAATTTATTTACCTATGTATGAGGGAGGTATTTTTGGTTCATGTCTTCCCTTGAATGGTGCCCTGGAACTAGGCGCCAGTGGGAGGTGAAACCATAATACAGCTGCAATTACCATTATTATTATTATCTTCCTCTGGAGTACATGTGTTTGTTAATGCATTGTCTGGGACTGCCTATTGTCATCCACAACATGACATATCTAATTGTCAATCTAGTGCAAGAGGGAGGTTTACATGGTTCATAGTACCCTCCCCTGGATCACACAACCCCATTTATCTATGGGACCTTAATCGTATTTTCCATCCATGGTGATCTTGTAATTGGCAGAGGTATGTAATATATGACACAGAGCACATTTCCCTCAATAAGATCTGTGAATGACCAATCTTTGTTACTTTTATTTGTATATGGAGTATATGCATTTTTTATGGAGAGAGCTATTATTATTAATTTGATCTGTTTTTTGATGGGTGATTCCCCTTTGAGGGGTTGTTACAAGGGACCTATGGAGTGTGGTCTGATTTTCTCTGTTTTTAGAAATGTCTTTGTTGAATAAAGAAACAATTGTATGCCACTGACCTCCAGCCCTTTTTTAATTATTGTTTTTTTTTTCAATATGAATATATTTAAACAAACCCAATATTCCGGTTCAGTCCACAACTAGTCGTAATTTTATGTAGTTTCTCATGTTGGTGACTAGGGACTCCCGGTTTTACATATTATTAGTAACATTTTTGGGGACTTGGAGGTTTTGAAGAGAAAGATGTAGCATGTCCATACTTCTTAGTATCATCATGTGCCAGTTTTTTAGGGTCATCAAGGGTTTCTGTGATTGCAGTAAAGCATTGCCATTTTTTTTTTTGGCTGACCACAGTTCCCTGAGTGTTCACAAAGCTCCTAGCCCTGGTGCTGGGCTTGCTGAGAACACGGGTGGTGTCAGTCTCAGAATACCTTAATGTTCCTTTGCTCAGGGAGCAGTCTTTTTAAAGCGAAATATAAGAAGCAAAAAAGGTATCCTTCAGTACATCTCTACATGAGGAAGTGGTATCTACATTGAAGCGATTTCCTTTGTGCAGTTCCACACCAGGTCTTTTGTAGAGGAGCATTCTGTCTGTCTAGATCACAGGTGTCAAACTGTCGATCCTCCAGCTGTTGCCAAACTACAAGCCCCATGAGGCATTGCAAGATTGACAGTTACAAGCATGACTCCCAAAGGCTTGTAGTTTCGCAACAGCTGGAGGACCACCAGTTTCACACCACTGGTCTAGATCATGAAGGTCCAAGTGTTAGATTACTGGAGAGCTTTGTCCCTGGGGTATTGCAGAGTCCGAATTGGTGGTTGTTTGTTTTGTTTGGTATCTGGAGAAGGGGTAATTTTGATTCCAGTGATATGGAAGACCGTAACCATCAATACCAGTCTCTCTGGTTGAGGGGCTGGTTTAAATATGACTACAGTTCAGGGAACTTTGTCTCCACATGAGAGAATACTGTCCATCAATGTCTTGGAACTTCAGGCAGTACGTCTTGCTCTGGATTTTTGGATGAACGAGTTTCACAGGTTTGTGGTCAGGGTTCGGTCCAATAGTTCCACGGCAGTGGCGTATATCAGCCACCAGGACTGCACCAGGAGTTGTGTGGTTCAGAAAAAGGTGAACCACATTCGGGCTGGGTCAGAACAGTATGTGCTGTCTCTGTCGGCAGTACATATTCGAAGTTTAGGAAACTGGCAGGTCAGTGGCTGATACCGGGAGAATGATTCCTGCATCCTGGGATGTTCTCTGCAATCTGCCAGCGTTTGGGAATTCTGGGTGGAGATCTACTTAACCCAGGAGGGCTTGATACACCGACATAGTGTATGTGACAGGGGACACACCTTGGACACTTCCGGTCTGCGCAGACCTATTGTGTTAGGTCCACTAATGTATCCTGTATACAATTGCTAGGATTGAAGACTTGGCTATTTAAGCCCAGGTCTGGTAAAATCGGGCGGTCTTGGGTCCTGTTTACTCCGCATTTATGTGTGCTAGAAAGCTGGCAACAGGGAGCTTCGATTATAGGATCTGGAAATCTCATTTGCCTGTTTGGAGACCTGGAAGTGGCACCTGCGGAAATGTGTGAGTGTAAATTTTTTTTCCTTTTTCCAATTGGGAGTCGAAATGAAATTTACCTTTTTAGTACCTTTTTTAGGGTCAGATTTCGTCTCTATTCATTTTTTTCCCAGAGACCGTTGTCCTTACTCCTTGATTTGTACTTCATGCAGGGTGTAACACAGTCACCCTTATGTACTTGTGATTTTTGCTGTCCTTGCAGAGGCTGCCTTTTGAACCAATTAAAGAAACTTAATCCTTTGACTTGGAAGGTGGCTTCTTTGGTTACTACCACTTCGGCAGGAACAGTGTCAAAGCTGGTGGTGCTTCCATGTAAGGAGCCGTTCTTGGCAACATGATAGGATGATGTTGAAGCCATCTTCCTGCCTAGAGTGGTTTTTAGTTTTCAACTACATCAGGACAGGGTCTTGCCTTTTTTTCCTTGTCCACAGTCAGCAGGGGAAAGAGCACTGCATACTCTGGATACAGTTCGAGTGGTCAGGATTTACTTGAGTTGGCGGCATAGGTTATGAATCCTAGTTTTTGCTGCCATAAGGGCCAAGAAAGGGCACACGTCATCCTGTTCTGCTAATTTTCACTGGATCTGCCAGTTAACCATTCAAACCTATGGTTTGAAGGTTATAGTCCCACCCCTTCAGGTGAGAGCACACTTTACCAGGAGTGTGGGGGTATCTTAGGCTATCTGTCATCAGGCTTCAGTTGCTCAGGTTTGTAAGGCCACTACATGGTCTTCGGTCCATACATTCACAAGGTTCTACCAGGTGGATGTCCGAGCTGCAGTGGATTCTGCCTTTGGCTGCAGCATGTTACGATCAGCTGAATCATTCCCAGGGGATTGATAGCAGTGGCTTTTATGGTGTCACCCACCCCTCCAAGTTTTTTAATTGCTTTAGGACGTCCCACATAGTCATGAATAGCCTGCTTTGTGTCCCATGATGTAGGATAAAGAAAATTGGATTTTTTCCACATACTTACCTGTAAAATCCATTTCTTCAAGTACACCACGGGACACACAGGTCCCTCCCCTATTTCAGGAATTTCATTGCTTGCTTAAAAAAATAAAGTGCTTCTTGTGTAGGAGGGGTTATATGGAGGAGGACTTCCTCTCTGGTCGACCAGTGACCAGTTTTTGCAACAAACGCCAAGGGAGCTGTAGATCTCTGTAGTGTATCATGCTTTTACTAAACCGAAAATCTGCACATACAACTGCAGAAAACATGCATCATAACAAAATATGCCTAAAATATGCACAAGCTGACTATGTGATAGGCAAACACTAAAAGTTACTTAGTTATTTCTGGTAATGGAGTCTTCTTAAGGGTTCCAAAGTCAAACTGCTTCCTCATCCATCTTCAGAACAAGTGTGTCCTTTTGTCTCAAAATACTCTCCTCTCCAGAGTCCAGAACAACTTTCTCTCTCCACATGGTTGTCCAAAGTCCTGATTCCTCCGCTCACTTCCTGTGCATAATTTCCTGTAACTTCCTGTGCAGCTCATAAACTAGTCTAGCTGGTCCATTTGCATATCAATAGGGGGAGCCTTGGCTTCTAAAACAACTTAGTCATAAAATCCATAAGTTCACATATCTAAGCTTTGAAAATCACCTTAAATAGTCAAGCAACACAAGCCACCTCTTTATTTTTTTATAGCATGATGTGTAAAAAAACTGTAAACCTAGCATTTCTATACAGCTTTACAACCTTTGTCCAGGAAAAGATGAAGACTTTTGTCGCTGGAAAGCTGCAACTTTCCTTTTGAGCAGGGTTAGCAATGTCCTTGGCAGTCTGTGTAACATAGTTTCAAAAAGAGTCCCAGATGGAAGTTTCTTGTCCTCCTGGTTATAAGGAAATTCTCAGATGAAAGTCCACTTCAATTCAGCTGCCATTAGGAAATGATCCGCATCATCCTCTCCTCTTCTGGTCGGTCTCATCCCATCTGGCCTGGTCATCTGCTCTGCCTGCTCCACCTCCTTGATGTTCATTACCTAAAAAGAGTAAGAGACAAGGCAGATTATATAGTTTCCTTCCAACTGTTCCAGAAACATAGCTCACTGCTTACATTTCCTTATCTGCCTATTGCAAACTGCAAAACTATTTTAGGATGCCCATTGTTGCTTTGTGACACTTTCATGGAAAGGTATAGATTTCCAGCAGAAAGACTAAACCTGCATTTCTCTCCATGCTGTCTGACAATGCTGGCCTGCTGTTGGCCAGTTTTCACAGCATGGCACTCTCTGGCAATATGTCTATGACAACAAAAACAACTCCACCTCTTAAGCAAAAATGGTGTAGAAATCCCATATGTTTCCTCTCTAGGTACCCTCGCCTTAAGTAAATCCGTCTACATGTATTTCCTGGAGACCACAGGCTTTGCCTTCATTTTTATCTGACTCAACTTGGCCATCTCTATTTGAGCTGATGAGATTCCCAGCTTCCTACTTATGGAAAGTATCAGTGGCATATTTTTTTTTTTGTTGAAAAATATACTTTATTTTTTACATACCGTATATACTCGAGTATAAGCCGACCCGAATATAAGCCGAGGTACCTAATTTTACCACAAAAAACTGGGAAAAACTATTGACTCGAGTATAAGCCCCATCATTAGTATCAGTGGGAGGAATAGTGCCCCATCATTGGTGTCAGTGGGAGGAATAGTGCCCCATAATTGGTATCACTGGGAGGAATAGTGCCCCATCGTTGGTGTCAGTGGGAGGAATAGTGCCCCATAATTGGTATCACTGGGAGGAATAGTGCCCCATCATTGTGTGTCAGTGGGGAGGAATAGTGCCCCATCGTTGGTGTCAGTGGGAGGAATAATGCCCCATCATTAGTATCAGTGACACCAATGATGCGGCACTATTCCTCCCACTGACACCAATGACACTTGCTGACCCCTGTTGCAGTATGGTGCTGCTGCAGCCAGCATATGTGGTTGGAGCAGCACCTCTGCACTGCACATTTACTGGCTTTTCCCTCACTCGATTTTCGCGGGTCCGCTCGGCTCCGCCTCCTCGCCCGTGATCGGCCGCCTGTGTACCTTTCCTGAGCTACAGTTCTGGCGGCCAATCACCGGTGAGGAGGCGGAGCCGAGCGGCAGGAGTGAGGGAGTGGCCGGAGTGACGGAAGGAGCGGCCGGAGTGACGGAAGGAGCAGCGCTTCCTGGATGGATCATCGTGGGAGCCAGGAAAGAGACAGCAGCCCTCTGCCCACCCCTGTACGCGCCCCCCTTGACGTTGACTCGAGTATAAGCCGAGGGGGCCGTTTTTCAGCACAAAAAATGTGTTGAAAAACTCGGCTTATACTCGAGTATATACGGTAAGTATAAAAAAACACGATACTCTTAGTCGGGGTGCATCTCACCCTGTACTGTGACGCAGCGCTTAATACACCACATTACAATGCAGTTCCAGTCATACAAGAAATACATAGAATAAGTACATTCACTCAGCGGTATGATGCCTAACGTGATGTGCATGGAGGATGATTCCCCACACCATCACGTCATGCATAACGCCGCTTACCCCGAGACTGTGGCCCCCTAGGTTACCCCCAGACCTACCTCTGCTTATAGGCTTTAGGGCCTTTGGTATGGCATCATTAGACTTGTTTATGAGGGCTGCACACTTCTTATTCATATCTTCAGCTCTGCCTAGAGTGGTTTGAATTTCAAAGCCACTGCAGGTTTGATTGAGTTCCCTACTTTTTAAATGCCCTTGCCTTGCTTGTCTTCCAAACACACAGTCATCATTGCAAGCTGCTCTTTCAGTAAGTCTCTTTCTACCTCTGTCTTTTCCTCTTTTCAGATTCAATATGTAGAGCATGCAGGAAGTTCACACAGCTACTGCCTGCATCTCTCCCTTACTGAACCCAATACTTTTAAGTCTAAAATATGAGGAAAAAATCAGACACTCAATCACCACAAGCTCTGTTCATAGGAGAAGCATACCTAGCAAGCTCCTTTGCAACATACATTCGCTGACAGTCTCTGACCCAGGCAGGTAGGGCACACACCTTCTCCTCTTGAACACCAGAAACGTCTTCATCCTTACTCTTCCTAAACCGTGTACGGAGCATTTTTCCCTAGCACAAGTAACAGAAAACAGATGTTTCAGTTGAGCTTTACAGCTAATCCTGGCACAAGCCCCCAATTGTTTTGCTTGGTGTCTATTAAGTGTCCTTGCGGGTAAAAGCCCAGGAAACCTAGAACTCTGTAGTGTAATGTGCTTTACTAAACAAGCTGCACATACGACTGCAGGATAAACAAATCGTAGCATGGAAAGTATAACAAAATATGCCTAAAAAATGTACAAGCTGGCTATCTTGGCTCTCTTGATGGTATCTTCTCATGGTTCTCATGGTTCTGGGATCTTCCTTCAGAGTCCAGCACAAAAACATCTCCAAGTCCTCCAACACATTATTTCTTCTTCCAAGTCTCCAGAAGGGGGAGCCTAGCTTCTAAAACAGCACATGGTCTTAAGATCTAACAATTTAACAAATATCTAAGCTATCAAAAAACCAGCAAGTATCCATAGCAGCAGAGTGTCCTGTGTTGTACTCCAAGAAATAGATTTTACAGGTAAGCATGAAAAAAATTCAATTCTCGTCACCCCCCCCCCTCCCCCTACTCCAACTCCCACAACAGGATATGCGCAATTTCAGGGAAAGAGTCTCAGCGGTAGAGGAACGTATTAGCAACCGTTCTGGGTTCTTCTGGGGTGCCTTGACAAAATACTTAAAAATTTCCCCAAAATTGCCCCAAAATTGTGTACAAGTCAGTGAGTGGATCAAACCTGCCTTTTTGTTGTTACAACCTTGGACACCATGTGGGCCAGCCGCCAGCATCCTAACAATTGCTGATGTAATCGGTTGATAAGGAGGACATCTGCCACCTGCACACATCCTTGTTTGACCCTCCCCTGTCCTTCTGTCAGCCCTGGGCTCATATTAGCTGCAGGATGGAGAGAAAATGAGGGAGAACAAATGCTAGAATACTAGTTAGTACCAGTGTGCAAGAGTGTATTTTGCTTTGCAAGAATAAATCATCTCTAATGTGGGGTGTCCTATGTTTTTAGATGTTGTTGCAATATGTGAAACTATTAACACAGTATTTCTTCTTCCAAGTCTCCAGAAGAGCTGTTCTCCTTTTTGTCTTTCAGAACAACTCTTCTCCAAAGTCCCAAAATTAACTCGGTGTTTGTCTCTCACCACAAGGTTGTTTAACCACTAGCCTACAGGGCACTTATACCCCCTTCCTGCCCAGGCCAATTTCCAGCTTTCAGCGCTGTTGCACTTTGAATGACAATTGTGCGGTCATGCAACACTGTACCCATATGAGCTTTATTTTGGTGGTATTTAATCACCTTGGGGTTTTTTATTTTTTCTTAAACAAGCCAAAAACCACTGCAAATTTTGAAAAAAAAAAAAGTTTTTTCTTAGTTTTTGTTATAAAATTTTGTAAATAAGTGATTTTTATCCTTCACTGATGTGCGCTAATGAGGCTGCAGTGATGGGCACTGATAGGTGGCTCTGATGAGGCACTGGTAGGTGGCACTGATGGGCATTGACGGGCATCACTGAGGGGCACTGAAAGGCAGCACTCATATATGGCACTGATAGGCGGCACTGATAGATGGCACTGTTAGGCGTCACTGATAGGCAGCACTGATAGGCGGCACTGACTGGCATTGATAGGTGGCACTGCTGGGTGACACTGAAAGGCAGCTCAGATGGGCACTGATATGTGGCATTGATAGGTGGCACTGGCAGGTGGCATGGATGAGCACTGAGAGCTGACACTGATGAACACTGACAGGTGGCGCTGCTGGGGCTACACAGATCATCGGGGCACACTGATCATCAGTGCTCTGATGATCTGTGTACATGTCCCCTCCGAGGAATGCTGATTACCGGCTCTCTTCTCCTCACGAGCTGTCAGCGTGACAGCTCGTGGGGAGAGAAATGCCGATAACCGGCATTTCCCTGTTTACATGTGATCAGCTGTGATTGGACACAGCTGATCACATGACCGACCCGACATCTTCGGCTCTTTCCGTGGATCGGTGATCCGGACACAGCGCACCGCCCATCGGCGCGCTCCGGGAGCCGTGCATGCGCGGTTAGAATGGGAGGACGTGATATGACGTACTCCCAGAACGAGAGAACCACCTTGTGTCCGTCATATTACTATATGGCGGGCGGGAGGTGGTTAAAAGTCCTCTTTCCTCCCCCCACTACCTGCTCATTTCCTGTAAGAAGCTTCCTCTGCTGCTCGAAAACCAGTCAAATGGGGTCATTTGCATGTCAGTAGGGGGGGAGCTTAGCTTCTAAAACAGCACATGGTCTTAAAATCTAACAATTTTAACCAATATTTAAGCTATAAAAAACCCAGCAAGTATCCATATCAGCAGAGTGTCATGTGTTGTACTCCAAGAAATGGATTTTACAGGTAAGCATGTTGAAGAAAATTCAATTCTCTCAACCCCCCCCCTCCCCCCCCCCCCCACTCCAACTCCCACAACGTGAACATCACTAGCATGTGTTGCAATGTCCCAAATCTTGACCCCCTTTCCCTGCCTTCCTACTCCCAGTTTTAGAATCATTTTACTCACAAGACCTGCCAGCCAGCACTAGTTTGTATTATGTTTTATTGAAACACACATTTGTTTGAATTGCTTGTCATCCAACCTGATACTATAAATATTGTATAATGCAGAATTAAAATGTGCTTTACTTTTATTTGTATTAAAATCTATGAAAAAAAAAAATACTTGTGAAAGAAAATAAATATTCACAAGTGAATGCATTTAACCCAGTATTGGGTGATTTGACAGGTGAGCAATAGGTTGGAATTAAAGCTGAACTTCACTCTCTCAATCAACATTACATGACTATATTTAATCCTTGTGCTGCTAGCATTAGTAAATAGGAAAGTATATCATATTTACTTGTTTTCAATTTGTATTAATCTTTCTTCAGTTGCTTTCTGGTTTCGTTGCCTAGTCAAATGATGTCATACATCCCAGGAGTCTTCAAGAGGGGAGGGGGCTTTCTTAGCTAAGTACACCCTCCTGCCTGCATGCTTGTGCTACAGACAGGTAGATTCCAGAAAGTAAATGCTACATGAATCATCTGCCCTCAAGATGGCTGCAGCCAGAAATTGTAGGAGGTTTTTTCAAAGTGATTTCTCAGGTTATTAAAATATGAAGACATGGATGGATAGGTGGACTTACTTTGAATATAAAAGAACATATTAAAAAATTATTTTTTTTTGGGGGGGGGGGGGTAGCGTGGCTTGGACGGTGATGTGAGCGGACGTGTGGGCTACAGCTCTTGCCTCCATCCTGACTTTACCCATTCTGGGTCCATCCTACTAATCCTGATGGACTACTGTATCGTTTCCCTCCAGCATCTTTCAATCATCATCTTGGGGTGTAATACTTGGAAATATGATCAAGAAGAATAAAGAAGATACAGCGGCCACGGATCGTTCATCCCAAGATGGCGCCAGCGCTCAGCCACAGCGTTTAGTGAAAGAGAAGCTCCGAGATACCACTGCCCGCCTAGAACGCTTCGCTCGCACTCCAGCCAAGGATTCCAGCAGGCCCAGTATCGTGTTTGATCCAGCAACTGTAGCAGAGCCTCCCACCGCACACTCTCTGGCTTGGGAGGAAGAGTCTACCTCCTGGGGCCTACCTGATGACGCAGTGAGTAACCCACTTGTGGATTCTGATTCTTGCCCTGCAGACTCCTCTGCCCCTGACCCAGACTCTACCCTGGCAGATATGAAGGCAATTACATCCTGCAATAGTTCTTTGACTACCCTCACTCAGGGTGTTGATAGTATGATTGAGGACATAACATTGATCCAGCAGGATATGCACAATTTCAAGGAAAGTGTCTCAGCAGTAGAGGAACGTATTGGCAACCATTCTGGGTTGCCTTGACAAAATGCTTAAACATTTCCCGAAATTGCCCCAAAATTGTGTACAAGTCTGTGAAACAAAAAGGCAGGTTTGATCCACTCACTAAGTCACAGGTTTTCATTGTTTATTGTTACAACCTTGCGCACCATGTGGGCCAGCCACCCTAGTCCTAACAAGTGCTGATGTAATCGGTTGATAAGGAGGACATCTGCCATCTGCACAACATCCTTGTTTGACCCTCCCCTGTCCCTCTGTCAGCCCTGGGCTCATATTAGCTGCATGATGGAGAGAAAATGAGGGAGAACAAATGCTAGAATACTAGTTAGTACCAGTGTGCAAGAATGTATTTTGCTTTGCAAGAATAAATCATCTCTAATGTGGGGTGTCCTATGTTTTTAGATGTTGTTGCAATATGTAAAACTATTAGGGGTGTCTAAAAAATTGTGTATAATTTTAAAGGGTTTCTTTTGACTGGAAAAAAGGTTGAGAAACAGTGCTCTAGAGGACTCTGTCCATCCCATCATTCAGTCCTCTAAAGCTATATCCCAGAAACTTGCCACAGATGATTCCCGCTTGGAGGATCTGGAAAACCGGTTTCGCCAGAATATGAGTGGAGGGAAAAAAAACGCCTGTGGATTTTATAGAATGGTGGCTCAAGACCACGTTTACCGTTAAGTGATGACATAGGGTCCCTGCTAGACTACCTCCTGCTGGGGTGGCCCCCAGAACCTTCCTACTGCAAATGCTGAATTATATAAAGACAGAGATTATATCATTCTTCAGAAAGCCAGGCAGCAGGTGGATTTTAAGATGAATGGCTCCAGGATTTTCTTCTTTCCAGACTTCTCTGGGGAAGTGCAACACTAATGAGCAAAGAATGCTGATTTGAAACTCCAGCTGTGCCAACTGGATCTCAGTTATTCACTATTCTATCCAGCCAGGTTCCGGGAAGTAGCCCAAGGCACTACTCACTACTTTGAAATGCCTGCTGCTGCCGCCCACTGGTTGGATGCCTTTTGGCACCCAAGCCGCTCTTCTCATCCAATCTGATCTTTTGTGTCATAGTGCTTGCTGTATCCCGATACCACTTTATAATTTCCAATCCAGAAATGCGCAGCTCTACCCCATTTACTGAATGGGCAAAATATGTTTTGGCTATGTTCAGGTGAAAGTTATTTCTGTGTGGACCTTGTTTTGCATCCTGCATCAGTACGCTCAAAGTTCTTTTCCTGGTCACATGGCCCCCCTGGTAGTGGCCCCTGCGTGGAACAAATTCTTTTTCTACTCTGTTGACTGGTTTCTTGGTTACGTTTTCATTCATTTTTTTCTCAATCTTTTTTTCTTATCTGTGCACTTGATGGACCTTTTTTCTAGTGCAATTCAGGGGACTCTGCATGTCAGCATCAACCACTGCTTGTCAGAAAATGTTGCAGCCTTGTTATGTGGTGTCCATGGGGCTGAGCTCGCCATCAGGTTCTCTCACAAGGACCCCATAGTCCTCTCTTTTGGACATTCATTGTTGAATTATTCTTGATCTTGACTTGTACCCTTTATGTGGAAATGGAAGCGATCCTGTTCTTGATTTTATTATTCTCCAATATGGGTCATACAACTGATGAAATCATTTCTTGGAATATTAGGGACTTAAGATATCCCTCCAAAAAGCTAGCTATGTTTACTGCACTTAAAAGGTTTTCTCCTTTGTTAATCTGCTTGCAGGAAACTCCTTCACCCATATACTATACAATTTTTAAAATGGAATCAATACATTGTACAATAACACTCTACATATACTTCCTATTCCAGGGGAGTAGACCTTCTCATAGCTAATGGGGTGGAATTTTCCTGCAGACGGGTTTGGAAAGATCTCAAGGGGTGGTTTATAATTTTATGCTGTACATGGTTCATTAAGCCTTTTGTGTTGGCCAGTTTATATTCCTCCCCCCCCTATCCCCCTGAGGTCTTTAAAACAGGAGTTCTACCCAAAAGCAGAAGCTCGCTTATTTGCCCTCCTCACCCCCCCCCCCCATATTTGGCACCTATTGGGGAGAGCGGATACTTACTATTGACAGGTACCCGCTCCCACTTCTGGCTCAGATACTATATATACTATACTATATATACCAGTTATACTAAATATATGCCGCTATGGGACAACCCCTGTCTGCCTGAGCTAGAAAAACTAGTGGGATTTGACCATTGGAAAAGGGCTGATATTCAGTTCCTTTACCAATTATATGATAATGATGTGTTGTTACCATTTAATGTTCTAGCTGACTGCTATCAGCTATCCAATAAACAATTTTTTCAATCTCTTTAACTGCGTCATGCGCTGCAAATTTGAGCGTCCATGTTTCAGTTTTTAAATATACCCCCTCCACAGTCTTGTCCATGACTATCTCCACAACCTGTACTAAATGTGGGCTAATAGGAGACCTGCACTCCGCTCTCCAGCTAGCCACTAGTGCCAGGACTCAAGTGAACAGCCTTTGTGCTTGGCAGCAAGACATGGTGTCAGTGGATGAAGAGTAGTGAACTCGGGCACTGGAAATACTACCGAAGGTTTCTCTTTCCCCTTCACAATGCCTGACTGAAACTTTTCATCCTCCATAGAGTACATTATACCCCATTAAAGCTCCACTCTTGGGGAAGAGCAACGTCCTCCACCGTGTCCTAGATGTACTGTGGCCAATGATTCCCTTATACATATGTTGTGTCGTTGCCATAAATTACATCTCTATTGGAAATTTTATATTTGATATTCTAAATTCCCTGTGGCATTGGACCCCAAACTTGCCCTTATTGGGAATAATTGCAGAGGGGGGTACTTGTATGAAATGCATTTAATGTGGACAAGGTCTCTCCTTTATTTAGCTCGTAAACCCATACGACAGAAATGGGTCTCGCCCACACTCCTTACATTCACCCAATGGTGTGATGCACTTGTTTTTACATTACGGAGTGAGGACCTTACTTAAAAACACAAGGGTTCTCCGAAAAAATATAAAAAAAAATATGGTCCTGGTGGCTGAACTCTAATGAACCTTCCCACCTCTCCCACTCTCAGGGTGAGAAAATGGATAGTTTAATGTGGA